CCACGAGACATCATCTCCCAGCTGTGAGGACCTCGCGCTTCAAAGAAATTTCCAAGGAGCGCTGGAGAGGGTGTGGAGAAGGAGGAACTTGAGTACATGGTGGGTGGGATGTAAATGGTTGCCCTGGTGTTAATTGGAAGTGGTCTGGACTTACCTTAAAACTTCAAATGGAAATACCAGATGGCCCAGCCATCCGCTTTTGGGTCTCCATCTGAAGAACATGAAATCATCAACTTGGAAAATTATTCATTCCACAACATTCATTGCAGCATGATTTACAATAGCTGGGCCGCAGAGGTACCTAAGGGCCGGAAGACAGGGCACTGAGTTAAGAAGAGAGGGTGTTTACACACAACAAATACTCTCCCTAGGGAAAGATGAAATGCTAAATGGAAGGATCTCGAGGGGATTATCCAAAGAGAAATAAGCCAGACCAGTGAAGACAAATATTGGATGATTTCATATGTAAGAGTAATAACATATGGAGACAAAACAGATGATCTGAAAAGCAAAATAATTACAAACTAGTGGACCTTGATAACCAAACTGAGGTTTCTGAGGTTAAGGGGCAGAGGGGGAGGGCGGGGCCTAGAAGGCACAGGGGTGGGGGTAGAACAGAGATAGGGTCACAGAGATTTGGTGCCCTGTTTCACCAGATTCATAATCTTAATAAAAGGCAGCATTAATAAAAAAAAAAAAAAGGAAAATAAAGGGTGCCCTGCTGGCTGTTGCTGTGTTTGCCGTGTGATTCTGGGACTTTCTTCAGCAGTTTGCAGCGCTGTTGCTTTAATAAATAGCCACAGAAAACTGCTGATCCATTGGGTGCGGCAGCCGAGCTCTGAGGGACTGTCAGTAATGGGAGAATGAGAAGCTGGGCTGGAGACCAGAGAAGAAAGAGATGGGAAGTCTGGGCGGTGGGGGCTAGGCCGGGAGGGTTAGCAGGCGCGGAGATTGGAAGGGAAGGCCTGGAATGGAGTCGGTCCCCATGGCGGCCTGCTCTGGCTGCCACCTGTGACAAGTGGGATACTGAAGCCACAGCCTGGGCACTCTGTGTTACAGTCGGGGGTGAAGAGGCCATGCTAGAGAGACTTATTTCCAGAATGTCCATCACTTCAAGGCTTTGCCTTTTGCTGTTGGGGAGGTTCCTCTGCTTGCAGTGACTCATTTATTCCCAAAGGCTCCTCAAGCCAGGGTTTTACTGGGCCAACCACAGAGACATCAATTCCTGGAAGACTGTTCCCCTTTTTGTCATGGACTCTAACTTGGAGGTAGTATTTTTGAATTCTCAATTATGGAGAACTCAAAATACTTTTGAGAAATGAGTTCTATAATCCTTAGGTATTGTCTTTCTCTGACGACAGAATATGGCATGTGGAGATGCCTTAGGGTCTCCTGGTTCATTGCTCTGCAGCTTGGGGCCCAGCTCTACACAGTCCAGACACCTGCCCGCCAGGAACCCCGCGGCCACTGGCCCCCAGTTAGCGCAGGGGCCTTGTTCTCTAGTCTCTGCCGCCGCTTCTCTCTACCTTAAAATTCCACTTCCCTCATCTCTGCTTTCCAAAGCTCAGGGTTTGGCTTCTTGCTCTCTCCTCACCACCCACCAAAAAAAGATGATTCTCCCTCTAATCATTTTTTAAGGATATCACAAAAGAAATCTAATCAATTATGTCTAACCACTCAAAGTTGTTTAAAGTGAAAAGTTAAAGTCACCCCCAAGGACTCCCTCCACCCCCAAGTAAGCTCCTGGGGTACACACTCTCTTTGGGAAAGTCTCCCCAGGCTGAAAGCTTCGGGGTCTCCAGTTCCAGGTCCTGGAACGCCAGATCTGCGACAAGGGGTACATTGCCACTAATCTCTCCTTACGGAGACAACGGTGGATCTGCAGATCTGGGCGTGGCCCCTGGGGACAGGCATGAAGGGAGCTGAGAGAGAGGTTTCCTGTAAGTAGCTTGCAGAAATCTCTTTGAAGTCACGGTGCCTGTGCCTCACTTTCCTCACCTGTGACACGTGCAGGGCTGGGACACCACAGGCCCTCAAGCTCCCGTTTCTGCTCATCTCCTCTCCCTCAATTAGTTCCCTTTCTGCTCTTGCACACTGCCCAGCAGAGGGCTGGTGCCCCTTTGGGCTGGCAGATGGGGGGGCCTGCTAGTACAGTGGCCTTACGGGGCCTTTGTTTTCTCATCCGAGAAATGAGGGGCCAGGACTGTTTGATCCCTGGGTACTCTGTGGTTCTGACCCCATGATTTCACCACCTCCCTTTCCCTGTGGCTGGCCCCTGTGATCCCGGGGAATAGCCCACTGGGGTGGGTGTGACTGCCTTCAGCTTGTAGGGACCATAAAACCTTGGGCAGGGGACAGCCTGGGGAAGATGGACCCTCCACAGAGCCTGGAGCCAGTTCCTTGTGGTCTGACTTCATTTTTTCACTTGAAGTGTTGTGCAACCCCAGAACCTCACCCACGCCCACATTCAGCCCAAGCACATTTGTGGTGCATTCCAGGACCATTCCAGCACCAAGAATGCGCGGCTGGGAGATGCCCTCACCTGCGAGCTTGGGAACCGCTGCTCCTGGCGCCTGGGGGGGTCACGAGGGAGCCAGGGGTACCGACCATCCCTGCTTCCCTGGCCTGTCCTGGTTGTAGCGCTGGGAGGCCTGTGTTCCAGGAGACCCCTGGCCCACACTAGAACATTTGGTTCCACGTCGCGTGGATTTCCTTAGTGGCACCGGCCACAGGTGAGGAAAGGCGCCAGCGGGTAGTGAAATGCAGAGTAGGCTGGGGGCTCAGAAATGCAGAGTCCTCCCTCGGGAGTCCTTGTCCAGATCCAAGATCCTGAGTGGGGATTAGGAATTTGTGTTTTATTAGCCCCGAGTGAGTCTGGGCAGGTGGCGCAGGCACCAAGCGTGCAGTGGGGCCGGCCCGGCCCTCACGGAGCTGGGACTTGGGCAGGATAAGCCAGGCCGGGAACCAGCTAACTCTGACACCAGAGGAATGGAACGGGAGCTGTGACGGGAGGATCAGCCAATTTTCCCTTCCTCCCGCCCTCCCAAGTAATTCAGGGCTTACAAAGCTTGGCTTTGTTCTTTACAAGGGTTGACAGGGCATTTTTCTGCAGGGGCCGGTAGGGAGAGTGAATTAGTTGAAGAAATGACCAGGCCTTGCTGCTTCCCTCAGACCCTCCTAGCTCAGAACTACCCCTGCGCCGGGTGCCCCCGGGTGAGGGGAGCAGAGGGGCATCGCCAAGCCCCACTGCAGCAGCTCCCACCTGGTTCAGGGGGATGTAGCCCTGCTCTCGTCTTCGGCCGGCAGCTGTTACTGCTGTAGTGGAGATTTTCCTGAAGTCCCATCATCCTAGGGGTGATCTGAAGAGGCTCTGGAGGTGGCCACTTTTTAAAATTTTTTAAAATGGTGTGCTTGTTCACTGGGTTTGGGGGAGCTTGCTCAACCCTTCTGCCAAAGGAGAAGGCAGCAGAGGCACCCCTCAGAGGGGAGCAGAAGGCCAGCTCCATGGGCCTCAAGCTGGCGGGTGGTCGAGGCGTGTGAGGTGGGTGGGCTCCCGAGTGTCCGGGAAGACCAGCGTGCAGGGCAGCCTGGAGCTGTGAACTGTGGCTCACTGCTGGCCGGGGAATGTCTGCCAGGCTCATGCAACTGGTCTGGAACCTGGGCTCAGGGACCTGCCGTTGTCCTTTCAGGCTGCATAGCTGACACCATCGACTGGGTGGCTTATGAAGTACAGGAATTGGTTTCTCACCGTCCTGTTCTTCCTTAGCCTCAGTTCCCCACTTGCTGCAAAGGGCGATGACAGAGCCACACACATCACTACGGTATTGTGAAAGAGATTATAGATGTGGAATGCTGGGCATGTGGGGCGGGCGTGACCAATGTCAACCGTTGCTGTTACTCCTCGTGACGGGGGCATTTGTGATCTGCCAGGCGGGCATCCTCAGAATAGATGTGCTGATTACCTGTCACAGGGTCTGAAGCACCAGCCATTGACTTGTGGCATTTGCTTTTTTTTTTTTTTTAAAGATTTATTTATTTATACAAGAACTGGGGTACAGGCCAGAGGCGTGGGGCGGGGGTGGGGTGGGGTGGGTGAGAGGATTCACCAGAGACAGAGCAGGGAACAGAACAGGCAGACCGACGAAATACACTGCTGAGGGGAGCATCGGGCGAGACAGGAGAGGTCTGCCGCTCCATGTGGGTTTCTCCTTGGCCATCCGGAAATCGAACTGGCGCTGCGGAGGCTGCGGACAGCTTCACAGTGCTGCGCTCAACCGCCTGCGCCACCAGGGAGGCCTCACTTTTTTTTTGAGACTAAAATCTTTTGGTCTTTGAGAGAGTCTTATCAACGAGCAAGCATTCCCAGGGACTGCAAGCTACTGTGCTGCAGCTGGCTGGCCAGCACCTTGAGGGTGCAGGCTCCGGGCTGGGGAGGGCCCTGGATGCCCCGACAGGACTGGGCCAGCCTGTCTCAGACCCCACATTTGCCCTGGGCTTGTGTTCCTCAGACTTGCTGTTGGGTCGCTTTACCCTGAAGTCTCGCCCCCAGCATTATTCTGAGGTTCTGGTGGTGAAGAGGCAAGCTGAGACCTGTCTTGGGCATGTGGGTGATTTCACTGACCCCCGACATGCCAGCTCTTCCAGAATCTTGACCTGAGCTTTCCACCAACCTTTGCCAGGGCAACTTCTTAAAAACAGGACGAGCTTGGGATATTCACTTCAGTCACCATCTCCCGAGGTTGTGATGCTGGGTGCCTGGGGTGTTGCGGCGGTGAGTCTGATAAGCTTAGGCGCCCCTTGGGCCCCCTCTGCCAACGTCCTGCCTCTTCCTGGTGGAGAAGGCGAGGAGGGCATCTGGGCACCGAGATGGCAAGAGAGACCCAGAGGTGTCACTGTGTGGCGCAGGAGTGCGAGCGGCAGGCGTGGGGGTGCACAGAGGCGAGACCACCGCGTCCCCGTCTTTGGGGCTGGAGGTTTTCACGCAGGGGAAAGATGCTCAATCACGAGCGCAGCAGCAGCAGCACAAGCATCAGTGTGAAGCGCTTCTGCGCGGAAGGGTTAGCGCAGTGGTCTCAGGGCAGCCTCTCACTCTGCCCTCCTTCACGGTTTGCCCCCTCCCTCCCAAGCCTGCTCTCTGCCTCACGCTGCTGCGCTCGCCTTCAAGCTAGAAATGGGAACCTCGGCCTGTTTCCCACTCGTGCTGCCGCCAGTCCCGTCACGTCTGCTCGGGAACACCTCACACAGGAAACCGTCTCCTGCTGGCGTCCTCACGGCTGGGTCCTCTCTCACCTGGATGACTCACCTGAGTCCACACGGGGCTCCCCACCTGCGCTCTGGCCCCAGCCCCAGCCACAGTCAGCTGCTGGGAACAGGAATCTGACTGTTGCTTCTACTCAGTGACGCCCAGCAGCACCGACAACAGCCACCACTACAGGCTCCGCGCCCCGTCTTGGCTTCTTTGAGCCCCTCTTGTCACCCCTTTCTTGCCGCTTGCCCTGTGGCCCATTCAGGCTCCCAGTCTTTCCTTCCTGGGTCAGCACCGTGGTTGGTCCTTATCCAAGCTCTGCTGTGTTTTGCAGGCTGAGTCCTTCTCGCCTGCAGACTCCAGCCTCTCAGGTCACTGCCCAGAGCGAAGCGGGTTCCAATCCTTGTCAACACCCTCTCTAGCTGGTCACGCCACTCAGGTCTTATTGGCGCATCTTGTTTATTGTCTGTCCCCCAGTGTCCTCGGCGCAGCCCCAGAAGGCGCTGATAAGTATTTGTTGAGCTAGTGACCAGGGAGGTGGAGAGGGCACACCTAGGGAGCACCGAGAGTTTGGGGAACACGATATTCAGGGGGTGCTCAGACACTGTCAAGGAGACTTGAGGGACAGGGTCTTGTCAGCAATTAAGAGAAGAGAAACACATCAGTTGGGGGTGCTTTAGGCTGCAGGTAACGGCATGTCTGTCCAGCGGGGGGTAGACAAGAGGGATTCTTTTTTCTTACTGTCAGCATGGTCAAAAGCCAAGTTCAGGGCCTCCCCGGTGGCGCAGCGGTTGAGCGCTGGGTTGCGAAGCTGCCCGCGGCCTCTGCAGCCGGTTCGATCCCCGGCTGCTCCCCGGCCACCAGAGGAGGGTCCCACATGGCGCGCAGACCTCTCCTGCCGCCCGCTGCTCCCCTCAGCAGTGTACTTCGGTCCTTCTGCCTGCTCTGCTCCCCGCTCTGGCTCTGGTGAATTCTCTCACCCTCCCACGCTTCTGACTGTACCCAGTGCATGTATAAACCAAACAAACAAACAATAAATAAATAAATAAATAAGACATGCCTCTAGAAAATTAAAAAAAAAAAAATCATTTAAAAAAAAAAAAAGCCAAGTTCAAGGTCAAGGCCACTAAGACCCTCTTGGTTTTGCCTCAGCTTCACATATCACATCCCTACATGACTGAGTTTACACAGGAAACAGCGAGCATGGAGTAGATGTTCTCCTCTCCTGCCTCCCCCTTATTGGTGGGGGTGGGGTGGGGGTGAGGTGGTGGGACAGTTGTCGTCCAGAGCCCCCACTGCAGCTCCTGCTGTGTCCCTGTCACAGGACACGTGCCAGCCTGCCTCCTGTAGACTAGCTGTGTGCCCATTTTGCTGAAAAGCTCTCTCCTGTCCTTGAACAGAGCTGGGTTCTGCCAGCTCAGAAGGGGAAGGAGAAAGCGAGGGTGATGCTGGCTAAGCACCTCGCACGAAGAAGAGTTCTCTCTGTTGGGTGAGCTGATGGGCCAGGAGGACTCTGATGAGACAGGAGGGCTGGTGGAAAGGGTGAGAGGAGGGAGGGGCACAGGAGGCAGACACGTGGGGTCTTTTCAGTTTGGGTGCAGACGTGGAGATGCTTCTCGGCTGGCTATGAGAAGCAGAGGAGGGAAGGTGGAGACTTGGAAGCAAATTGGAGTGGTGGATCTTGTGCCCCGAAAGAGCCATAGAGTTGGTGAGAGGCGAGGAGGGGCTGGAACAGGCTTCCTGAGGAACTCGGAGGCTTCTGAGACAAGGTAGCGGGCAGGACGGCAGGATGCCGCTCACATCCCCGCGCGTGGCAGTGGGCCTCAGTGAGAGAAGCCACGACTTTGACCTTCCCGCCCCCTTTGCCTTAACCTTTGGATATAGTTGACTCTTAAAAAAATCCCAACAGAGGGCCTCCCCTGGTGGTGCAGGCAGTTGAGCGCCGCGCTGTGAGGCTCTCTGCGGCCTCTGCAGCGCCGTTTCGATCCCGGCCGGCCGGCGAGGGTCCCACATGGCGCCGCCGACCTCTCCTGTCTCACCCGCTGCTCCCCTCAGCAGTGTGTTTCATCAGTCTGCCTATGTTCTTCCCTGCTCTGTCTCTGGTGAATCCTCTCGCCCTCCTGCACATCTGGCCTGTACCCCGGTTCTTGTATAAATAAATAAATAAATAAATCTAAAAAAAAAAAATCCCAACAGAAAGGCTGAGGACGAAGCCTACTCAGATGGACGACGGAGTTGGCATCGTAGGGTGGGGTGAGGCCAGCTCCGCGGCTCACGGGCTGAGGTCACTTACAGTGTGAGCCATGAGCCGCCGGGTCCTGCAGGGCACAGGGTGGAGGGAGGGGAGCCCTGAGTTGGGCAGAGAGGACTTGGGCTTCACCACTTCCAAGCTGTGGTTCATCACTACCCTCCAAGCCTGCGGCCCTCTCGGCGGAGGCTGGCCGGCAGCCACAGGCCTCCTCCCTCCTCTGCGCTCAGTTAGACACTGTGCTGGCCCCTGACTGGGAATTCAGGGAACCGTCTTCTGTTCCCTCCGCCGCCCTCTGTGGGGAGGCTGACCCTCCCGCCCAGTCTTCGGGTGACGTTTTCTTCTCCCTAAGCTCTGCTCCCTCGCTTCTGGCTTCTCTCCCCCTTGTTTTGGGGAAGGATGGTGGAGGCCCAGCTGGTAGGATGGGTGCCAAGCCTTTCTCCTTTATTTATTCCATTCGTAGCTATGGATGCGGCAAAAAAGCAAACAGAAGTCCGACTAGATCTATGAGCTCGATATTCCACGAGAGCGGAAGCCAGTGCCCACTTACGCAGGAGGCAGGGAGCAGGCGTCACAGCGCCGTGGGGAGCAGCTCCACAGAAAAAAGAAAGTTCTCAGCAGGAATGCTGGTGAGCTAACACGGCTCTGTGTGTCTTGCTCAGACCCTCCTTGATGTGCGTCTGGAGCTGATTTTTGGGGTGCCACCCCTCCAGTTCTCCAAGTTCTCCGCACTCGTCTCCTGGGTCATTGAGGGAGGCTGCGGTTTCTGAGGCTTGAGGAGCAGGACTATTTGGTTCCTTGCAAGCTGCTCCCCCTAGATCTGTCCTGCCTCTTTTTTTTTTTTTTTTAAGATTTATTTATTTATGCATACAAGAACAGTGGGGCGTGAGAGGATTCACCAGAGACAGAGTGCAGAGCAGAACAGGCAGACTAACCAAAATACACTGCTGAGGGGAGCAGTGGGCGAGACAGGAGAGGTCTGCTGCACCAAGTGGGTAGCTCCCCAGCTGGGGATTGAACTTGTGCTTCAGATGCTGAGGACAGCTCTGTGCTCAACCCCTTGCTCCACGAGGGAAGCCCTGTCCTGTCCTGCCTCTTGCGGGGGTCACCTGGACTCATCCTCTCTAAAATGGGATGGACGGAGCTTCTTTCTCATGGGGTGGCTTCAATGAGTTCTTATCTGTGAAGTGCCTGGGATCGTGTCCTGATGAAATCAGTTACTCGACAGACACACAGCATCTGGAGCTTGTCCCAGCTGGGCCTGGGGAGAATGAAGCCCAGGGTGTCTCTCCCTGACCTGGCATCTAGAACCTGGATGGGAGAAGATGAATAGAGAGCAGGGAGGCCCCTGCCCTCCCTGGGCAGGCGCTGAGGTCCCCAGGGCGGCAGCTGCTGGGAGGGGCCGTGTCAGCTGGCCCTGCCTAATCTCTCTGCAGCCCCTGCAGGGAGAAAGGAGAATCTGGTAATCATTGTGTGGTTGTTTCTGGTTTGCTTCTGCTTTCTAGATCCTCTTTTGAGAGAGAACAATGCCATGAACACGGCTCAGGCTTCCTGGCCCAGCACCCTCCCAGCAGTGGGGAGGCTGCCCGGGACAGTACAAAGAGCGGCTACTCCAAAGGCAGAGGGCCTCCGAGTCCCTTCCATCCCCTCCTTCCAGAACACTGGGGATGGTGTGGTTTGGTGGCTTGTTTGAACCCCCACCAATAGTTTGTTGTTACATCACAGGGACTTTGGCAAGCCCCCCGTTTTCTTTTAGGAGTTTTAGTTTTAAGCTTTCCCTGTTTGCCATGAAGGATAGTCATTGCTGTGCCACCAGGCTGGATTCCCTGGAGGACTAGCAGGAGGGGGCAGGGCGGGTCCTGGCCACGTGGTCTCAGTCCTGCTCACAGCCCAGCTCCTGGGAGGGACCCTCAGTACAGGACGGGGCTGGGGCTGCTTCTCCCCAGCCAGTGCCTCATCAGGCCATCTGGGGGCAGAAGGCCCAGGACTGTATCCAAGGAATGGGGTGGGGTTTCCTCATTCTTTTCTTTCTTCATACTTGACCTTGTACTTGTGGATTTCAGTGCATTTTATCAGCTTTTATGGGTTTCTCTTTCATCACCAGAAAGCAGAGTGAACCCACAAGCAAGTGGCCCAGTCCCTAAAGGGGCAGGCGGAGAGTGAGGGTGTTTGAGCGTGATTTTCCAGTGGTCGGATTTTATTGCAAAGGGCAGGTGTGAACCAGAAGACGGGGGCCCACCCAGCCTTGAGAGGGACTGGGGGCTCAGCTTCCTCGTGGTGTGGCTGTTGTCAGAACTACTGCTGGTACCACGCCTTTCGTGGGTTGCTTGCTTATTGGCTTTCTTGAAATAGATTTCTATATTTTAAAACCTGACACTGAATTGAACAGAAGCCAGCATGTCACTGCCCTGCCTGAAACCTGGCACTTTTCTAGCAAGCACCGAAACAAGCCCGTGACTACTGAAGTGGAACTATTGGTGCGTGTTGTGGCACTGAAACGTGACCACCTCCCAGTGCTCTGTCAAAGTCCTGGTGAGGTTTTTACACACAGG